GTTGTTGTTATGACAACTAGTATAATCATAGTTCACTTGAGTCGAAATATGAGATAACTAGAAATGGCCTCGCTACATTTATATTTGTAGAGTCGATTATAGAGATTGGCGCGCCGTGCAAAGTTCACGACGTTTGCTGTAGTTAGCCTAAGGTTCGAAAATAAAGAGCTACAATTTGGGTCGAAATATAGAGCTACAATTTGGTGTTTTGTCATGCATTATTTCAGTCTACTCACTAAAAAAACGTATATATATATATGTCTGKGAAGTACGGCATTTTGCATTTTCTGCAATCTCTTAGGATGTCGGAGGTCGGATAAGAAGAGAAAGGGCGCATGGGTATTACTGTTTTTTTACAAGTCTATAGCGGTTTTTTTTTATATGAAGAAGCATTCATGAGCCTGTAAGCCTTTACCGGTGAGAAGCTTTTGATGTAATGAATTCCAGTCATTAAATATTTTGTACATTTCATCATTGGAACTGATTTAATTTTCTGTTCCATTCTCCCCAKTAAGAATAATTATAGCCCCTTCCTATTCAGCTTAGTTCTTGCAGCAGTAGTATATATCATGGAAATACACCATCTGAAACTATTTTCTGTCTTTCTAGACATGGTAGAGGGAGATACCAGATGTTTTATGTGTTTATCAGCTGACTCTTGGTCCAGCTGCGATAGAGATGCCAAACGGGTGTGGTGTTACTCAACCAGCACTTGTATTAAAGGGAGTATCAAGGGTGTTCGCAATGCAAGCTCTATTGAATTATTTTTCAAAGGCTGCGCCAAAACGTGCAATAAACGGGAAGTCCCACAATGCGCAGATGGTCAACTGGATTGCCAGATTAACTGCTGCACAGACGGAGATTACTGCAACGCGGGAACTGGTCTGTCTGCAAGTATTCCGTTCACTTTGATGCTGACTGGTACAGGACTGACGGCCCTTCTACGGCGTGGAATTGTGTAATGTTTGTAAGCCGAAAAACCATACTATYGGTTTGTCTATCTAATGTAAAACCATCACCAATAAGACAGTCCCTAACATTCAATGCATAAGCACAACAATGCACATTTGATTTCTTGTATTTTCTGATTTATACAAAAAAGCTAACAATAAAACAGCACTGTCTAAGAAATTCACATCAATTTAATCTCATCTTGTGTAATTTACCAGACAATATCTAACGAATGGCGTATGCACTTTGGAGAGTCCTCTTTATTAAGGATTAAAACCATGTTATTAAGGGGGATTTCTCGTCGTCCTCGAAAGGACAGCACGGTTGTCAAGGTCCACAATAGCTCAGTCCCAGTTCTTGGCAAAGACCTCTTCCTTTCTATAAAATGCCACAATTCATCTTAGACATTGACACCAATTGTAACTTAAGGTAACCCCAAGATTGATGTCGTCAACCGTCTCTTGGGTGGCAAGGGTGGTCTAGTGGTTAAGGTACTGGCCTCTCACCGCTGTGGTCCGGGTTCGATTCCTGGGCACGGACCATATGTGAGTTTGAGTTTGTTTGATGTGTT